ACATTTTCAGAAACAATGCCAGCAACTCTATAAATATACTTTGAATCCCAGAATCTTTCCTTACGAAATTTTCTGATCTTCTTCTGCACAAAAATTCTAGTGTGTTTTACAGTCTTCGAGTGGCTCGCTGTTCACATGCGTTTTGGTACCAACACTCCGGTGAGTTAAATCGTTCTATCCTGGGAGGATATATTCCAGCACCTCGGGTACTTGAAGGGAATAATTTTCTTAAGAACACACTGTGTATTCAGTGGGCTTGATTTATTTTTACACTGTTTTTCTAGAATTTATTTCTTTAAACAAGTATTACTAACTTTCTGTTTTGTTTATATATTTCAGAAAGTTTAATAATTTAATTGTTTATTACAACAATACAGATTTATAACACCTCAGTGGCTGCCACTGGTGAGCAACAAGTTGATGAACATGGGATGAAAGAAAAAAAAAGTGCAGGTGGGTTGAAGCCATGTTTTCTTGTTGGAAGTCACATTATGCAGTCCGATTATCTAAAGTCTTATGCCATCCTTTTTGATATCCTTTCTTTTTCTTGTTCAAAGATAATCCAAGATTTTAAGTCAGCGAATGTAAAATAGCACCACAACACTACGCCTTTGATGTGTGCTAATGAGTTCAAGTGATTGTATAGCCTGCAAGTGACATGCATCTATCAATGCCGTTGGTCATCATGTGCTTGAATATAGGCGAGTACAGTTATGAATGCAATACAATGCCATTCTCCTCGCTAACATGACGCTCAATTTAAGTTCATCTTGTATCAATATAACGCCAGAGAATCATATAACCAACCACCATATTTAGGATTGTGGCCTAGGCGATTGATTGATCGACATTTGCTGCACTCTGCTTCAATAAACCGGATCTGATGCCACATTGCAAGTATACTTAGTCATGTTTCAAAATGTCGATTAAATATGTAAAACATGCCTAAGAATTCTAAAATGTAATGGATCCCATGTTGCCTTCAAATTTATAGTTTAAAGCAACATTATCAATAGACATCAAAGAATAGTCAAACACTAAAAGCAACATCTTGACAAGAGCATATAAGTAGCAGATACTATAAAAGTTCAGCAACTGGAATTCCATTTGCATCATTTTACTAGACATGAAACAAACTAATGACTTGGTACACATTAGTTTTAAGAGAGAATTACAACTAATGTTTAACCATACATGACATAATTAATTACTTATTAGCTAAGAAGTACATGACAACACCATTTCATCACTGCTACATAATGATACAAAAGTCTGCGAGTTGACATACACAGTTGAACATGCCCCCTCCCACCAAAAAACTAAATAGTAACAGCACAACAGGAAGAGTTTAAACTCTTTACTCATAAATAAATGCGGAGAAGTCGCTCAACATAACTGATGGCCTATGAGCTTCAATCCTCTCCCATAACTTTTAGCTCCCAATGTTCCCACAACAACCAGCACTGCAACTACACAAGGCTCGGGCAAATAAATGTAGGAGAAAGATTAACATAGAACTTATACCTGCACTCTTCCTAAGCACAAGCAACGGAGCAATAATTCCCATTACTATATCGTGATTGATGCTGCATCTTCATCGATTATCCAAACAAAATCAGGGGTGTCGAGCCTCAGCCTCCGTCCTGCCAGTGTCCTGTATATATGAAGTTACTCGACAAGGCAACTTTCTGGTCTTGTTTCCGGATCACCCATCTCATCCATAACTTCAAAATTAAGCCCTGGCAACTTCTGACCTAGCAGTTTACATGCTCCAAAGGATCACATTGTCTCCAGCTTTGCCAACAGAGCCTTGTCAACAAAGGAGCAGTCTCTGATCTCCAACTTATAGAGGCTTTCACAAGACGAGAGCACGTAATGGAGGACCAGATTGCTATCCCCAGCAAAAGGTGTGGAAAGAATCTCTCACTTCTTAGCATGGACCCCGATGTACTCAAACACACAATCTGTAAGGAGGCCAGAAAGAGAAAGTCGACGCAATTCCTTTCACTATTGCATGACTGCCCAAAACCGTCATCAAGCGGTCCAAGAGTTAAGTAATCAGGAGTTGAGGCTCGACACTGCACAAACGAAATCGGTCATATTAGGACGAGGGATTGTTCTTAGGGCAGCCAGCTGAGACAGCTACAAGGGATTGTTCGGTCCTGGAGCAAATGGATCAGAAGGAAACACCCCTAAGTTCTTGAAGGTCCCTACAAGAGTTGGCAATCGCCTCAAAAGACTAGCACCTGCAGTCACATCCATTCCAACTGACTTAATATCTAAATAAGGTAAGCTGGAGAACCAGTTTGGAAAGAGATACATCAGAGCCACTAGACAAGTAGAACACTTAAGAAAACTTTGGAAGCATCTAATTCTGAGTGACAAAGATGCCAATATAATTGTCAAAGCGTAGGAGCAAGAATTAAATAACTGAAAACTGTTAAATCCAAATAACAACAACTATGCAACACTAAGGGTGTGTTTGGTATATCGGAAAAAATATTTTCTAATTTTTTCATGTTTGGTTGGCTTGAATGTTTTGGGATGACTTTCATTTCAACAAAACGAGTATTTCTTTTTCATGATGTAGAAAAAGTATTTTCTTTCATTTTAACAAACAAACTATTTTCTTTTCCTGGAATAGAAAAAATATATTTTTTCAGAAAATGAGTACTTTCTTTTCATGATGTAGAAAAAATATTTTCTTTCATTTCAACAAAACGAGTACTTTTCTTTTTATTATGATGTAGAAAAAATATATTTTTTTCATTTCAACAAACTACGTATTTTCTTTCCTGGAATAGAAAAAGTATTATTTTCAAAAAATGAGTACTTTCTTTTCATGTTGTAGATAGAGTACTTTTTTTATTTTAACAAAATGAGTATATTCTTTTCATGATCTAGTAAAAGTATTTTCTTTCATTCAACAAAATGAGTAATTTCTTTTCATGTTGTAGATAGAGTACTTTTTTTATTTTAACAAAATGAGTATATTCTTTTCATGATCTAGTAAAAGTATTTTCTTTCATTCAACAAAATGAGTAATTTCTTTTCATGTTGTAGATAGAGTACTTTTTTTATTTTAACAAAATGAGTATATTCTTTTCATGATCTAGTAAAAGTATTTTCTTTCATTCAACAAAATGAGTAATTTCTTTTCATGTTGTAGATAGAGTACTTTTTTTATTTTAACAAAATGAGTATATTCTTTTCATGATCTAGTAAAAGTATTTTCTTTCATTCAACAAAATGAGTAATTTCTTTTCATGTTGTAGATAGAGTACTTTTTTTATTTTAACAAAATGAGTATATTCTTTTCATGATCTAGTAAAAGTATTTTCTTTCATTCAACAAAATGAGTAATTTCTTTTCATGTTGTAGAAAAGATACTTTCTTTTTCAACAAAATAAAGTATTTTCTTTTTAGTTATTGAGCTCAAATTTTAATGGTGTTCTTGTGTGCAAAAGTAAAGTAGCACATTAGTTCATTTGGATTTATGTGAATTTTGAAAAGAATACTTAAATTTATGAAGAAAATAGGGTCTGGGGAGGAGTACAAGAAACATGCAGATTTTAGGGAAGGTGGGTTGATGAGAGTAACATAAAAAATTATTTTCCTAAAAATATTTTATACTCTCTAACCAAACACCAGAAAATATTTTTTCGGAAAAAGTTTTCCACACACGAACCAAACAAGCGAAAATAAGTGATAAATTAAAATCACTCATTTTCCATGGAAAACATTTTCCTTCGTACCAAACACACCCTAAGCTTCAAAGATAAGTTATTCTTCATATGGCTGACCAGCAAATTATGAGCGATTCTGGATTCCTGCAGGTCCAATACACCTTATGAGGGGAAATGATTCAGAGAATTGAATCGTTATTAATCGGCATCCCAATTTGATGAAGATAAAGGGGTTCTGTTTTTAGGAAACACTAGATATGAGTTATTGTTTAAACAAATTGTTTACCCGAAAAACGGATATAGTTAAATTTATATGTAGTTCTAAGGATACGTGGTATAACTTGGCACAAATCAGAAAGTAAATAGAAATATATTGAGTATTGATTGTATAAAGAATGAAATACAAACCAAACTGAGCGAAAAATATTTTATGAACAAGCAAGATGAATCAATGTACTAAGCCCAAAAAGGGATAATCTCTATATGAATATCAGTATGTTTTTCTCTGTGAATATCAATAATATGAGAGTGTATGAATGCCTTGAAGCCGGATCCCCTTACAGAAATAATAGTCATCCCTCTTATAGTGGAGAGATCCTACTTTGGATATAATTAAAAATACATAGTGGGAACCCATGATAGATTAGTTTTTCCCTAATTCTCGCCGAGATTCTCTCCCTTAGTGCGGTTGTAATGGCTCTTGTCTCTAGGCTCGATCTTGATCGGACTTGGTATTGGTCGATTTCCAGGTTTAAAACTCGATATTGGCTCGAGCTCGATAGTGACTCGGGGCCCGATATTGACTTTGGCTCGATATTGGTCGGTCTCTGGCTCTTAGGATTGATAACATCACCTCTCATCATAGTTCGATTTGGACTCGAGCTCGGTAATGAGTTCGAGCTCGGCATTCGATCGGTCACAGAAATTTGAGCTCGGTAACCTAGTTTCGGATCTCATCTCGATATTATGAAGATGACCTTCGGTCTATTATATTCCAATCTTGACTAACCATACGAAGGTCAAAACCGGTTTTGACCGTATACAGATAGTCCTCTCGTGTCTCGGGAAGAATGTGGCGAGAAACGACATGATTTTTCAACGGTATGACTAGATATACACTGACGTTTGCATCTAGACCGACCATGACGTACGTGATAGATGTCCCGTCGGTTCAGTTACCAAGGCATTAAATGCGTGTCAGACGATGGTCGGCCATTGCCGGTATTGAACCGTTATTGCCAACCCTATAAATAGCTCCTCTTTTTACCATTATTTACTTTTATATCTCCAATTTTCAAATCTTCTAAGTTTGATGCCACGTCAGATGACCATTTATTATGATAAGGGGTACTTTGGGCATATCAATTTTTTCCTATTCGATTCAAAAAAGAAAAGGCATTCAGGTAAACACCTCTATTCTTTGATTATAAATGGACAGAAGCTGGACAATAGTCTTTATGATATATGTTACATGAGAAACTTGAGGCTCCTTAGAGTATTACTCATGCATGACTCTTTTATCAAGGTGAATGATTCTTTGCTGAATGAGATATGCATGTTGGTTCACTTGAGGTTCTTACAGATTAAGACATAAGTTAAATCTCTACCTTTGTCTTTTTCAAACCTCTGGAATCTGGAAACTCTGTCATGGACCAGCCTTGGTACTACTACCCACAATTTGGAATCTTGTAATGTTGCGAATGGTGGTCATAGATGATTGTTCTTTCTTTCTTTTGGATACAGATGAACCAATACTGGTAGCTGAGGACTCAAATTTAATCTCAAGGAATCATGGGATTGTTCAACAGAACAATATTGGTTCCCGAAATTGGACTTCCTAAATGAACTGGAATTCCTCAAAGTAAAGTTTGAAAGTTCAAATAAAAATGATATTGTGCTCTCTATAGCGACAAGTCGGCTGTGGGATTTTCACTTCCCTTCTAGTTTGAAACTATTGAGTTTTTTTGAGTTTCCTCTGACATCTGATTCACTATCAACAATAGCAAGACTGCCCAACCTTGAAGAGCTGTACCTTGTAATTGCAATCATCGAGAGGAAGACACCTTCCAGAATCTCAAATGTTTGACGTTTCAGCGAGTGAGTCTTGCTAAGTGGGAGGTTAGAGAGGAATCCATTCATGTGCTTGAGAAATTACAACTGTGGGAATGTCGAAAGCTTGAGGAGATTCCGCAGAGTTTCGGGGATCTTGTTTCATTGAAAATTATCGATCTGTGGAGAAGCCCTCAACTTGAAGATTAAGCAATATGTTGAAGATATGATGGGAGAAGACAGGATTCAGGTCCCTGTTCGGAATGAGTCTTGAACACTCTTACCCTGGGAAAAATATGTGAGTATAGATGAATTTATTACCTCCTTTATTCATTTTATGTGGCGGACATTGACTAGTATAATTTTCTTTGCAGAGAGCATTTAAGGAATATATCCAACTTTTGAGGCTAAAGATGAATCCTCAAACATCCATCTTTCACTCCTTTTCTGTTACTTTGTTGTGTGGTGAATAAGTGATGGATTTGTATTGATATCAATTATTACTATTTCACTTTTTTCTAATTTCCCCGCTTTTTCTTCATTTTGTGTGCTTATGGTATACAAAAATGTACTCTAGTTATGTATTCCAAGATTTGTTCTTTCAAATTGTTATTGTTGTATACTCTCTTTGCATATCATATGTTACTTCTCAAGTCCAGAGACATACATGGGATTGCTAACTCTCCGCAATGATGGGATAATATATATTCACTCAGATATTGATTACAAGAGGATGAGAGTAGCGCTTTAGGAAGTGAAACAAAAGGTGGGCAACCTCTGTATTATATGAAAGTTATCTTATATCTCAGCGTTTTCAAGTTTTTATATATCTTTCAACAAATACCTTCACAATCAGCTCATCGACGCATAGAGTTTTAATTGTAATGCAGGCTGGTGGAATTCACGCGCACCAAGATTTAGCCCATCGATGCATTTGGTGTTGAGGCTGCTTTATCTTTGATCAAGATGTTTCAATAGGTGCTGCTGTACAATATTTGGCCGTGCTATTTGTATACCGTCAAAATCGGGCTTACCCGATTCTGTATGGTTAATCGAGATTGGAACGTTATGGTCTGAGGTTCATCATTGTAATATCGAGCCATGATGCGAAGTTAGGTTGTCGAGCTCGAGCCCCAGAGACCGATCAAGATCGAGATCGGCCAAGACCGAGCTCGAGACCCAGAGACCGATCAAGATCAAGATTGGCCAAAATCGAGGTCGAACAAATAGAGACCAATCAAGATCGAGATAGGCCAAGATCGAGATCGAGCCAAGAAACAAAAAAAGCCGTTATAGCCGCAATTAGGGGGAGAATCTCGGCGAAAATCACGGCGTAAATCAAGGAAAAACTAATTAATTAATCTATCATGGGATCCTCACTATGTATTTTCTTTTATATCCAAAATAGGATTTTTTCACTATATTAAGGGTTGTTGTCATTTGTAGAGGGGGATCAGATTCATTGAGATTCATAGAACATAAAGAAATACACTATTCTTTTCTGGCCTTGATATTTAGTCATATTGTTTTTCTATCAATCACTCTTCATTCAATTTGAAGGTGATAAAACTTGAAGGCTTAGGCTAACTAATCCATTCGGTTTGCATTCATTACTTTTACAGCTAATTTCGATATTCATTTATTTATCTTTCCCAATTTGTACCAAGTTATACCACGCATCCTTAGAACTACGTATAAATTCAATTGCTATCTGTTTTTCGGGTAAACAGTTTGGCGCCCACCGTGGGGTTAAGGATAATAGTGGTTATTTGATACAAATCTTTGTAAAACACACTATTTTACACTTGCTCTTGAAGATATCTTTGATTTCAGGCTAAAAATGACGAACTCTCAATTAATGGCCCTACCTATCGACAACGAATCTGGCCATCAAGGTGAGAACAACAATGTGACGCCCGGGGATGAAAGGCCACACGTTGACCCCGTTGGGACTCTGGCCATGGATCCAATTAATGTTAATTCACATGTGGCCATTGAAGCGAACCAACATTCCGGCCCCGAAAACAACATTCATGGTGGAACTCGATCTGCAGTTCGAAATACCCAAAATATTGGAGAAGACGAGATCAACCTGCGTATGATTTTTGAAATGTTGCAAGCTCAATAGGTAGCGATAGCTCAGTTGCAGAGCCAAACCCAGGCACCGAGCAGGNACAGAGCCAAATCCAGGCACCGAGCAGGCCTGAGCCCGGTCCACCCTAAGAAGTCACCCACAGAACGGGGCCAGCTGTAGTAAGGTCAAATGAACAAAAATTGGAGACTAACCCCGAAATTATAAAGATGCTCGAGGAACTGACAAAACGGATGGAGTCAGGAGAAAAGAGGATTGAGGCAAACGGCAAGAAAGTAGAAACTTATAACTCCAGGGTTGATCAGATCACGGGGGCAGCACCAATATTGAAGGGTTTGGATTCCAAAAGGTTCGTACAAAATCCTTTCCCCCCGAGCGCATCTCCCAAATCGATCCCCTAGAAGTTCCGCATGCCCGAGATTCCTAAATATAATGGAACGACTAACCCCAACGAGCATGTCCCCTCTTACATGTGTGCCATTAAAGGAAACAATCTAGAGGATGATGAGATCGAATCTGTATTACTAAAGAAATTCGGGGAGACCCTGTCAAAGGGAGCAATGATATGGTATCATAATTTACCATCTAACTCTATCGACTTTTTGTCTTGCTTGCAGATTCTTTTGTAAAAGCACACGCCGGAGCCATAAAGGTCGAAACTAGGAAGTCGGACCTTTTCAAGGTAAGGCAAAAAGAGAACGAGATGCTAAGAGAATTTGTATCTCGTTTTCAAATGGAATGAATGGATCTACCACCGGTCATAGACGATTGGGCCGTTCAAGCTTTCACTCAAGGCCTAAACATACGAAGTTCAGTAGCCTCACAACAGTTAAAGCAGAACTTGATCAAATATCCAGCTGTAACCTGGGCCGATGTGCATAATCGGTACCAGTCAAAAATTAGGGTCGAGGATGACCAGTTGGGGGCTCTCTCCGGGTCTGTTTATCCAAACAGGACCATCGACAGAATTAAAAAGGATATTGACCGGGAACCACGGTCAAACAGAGATCGATATCAGCCATATGGTGGAGATCGGAGAAATAACGGGCCTGGACGCAGCCCCGTTCGAATTGATAGCCGAAATGATCGAGGACAGATCTCTCGAGGGATCATGAGTAAGAGTGGTTTCGACAGAAATGTCGAACCCAAAGAAGCACCACGACTATCGGAATACAACTTCATGTTGATGCATCAACTATTGTATCGGCCATTGGGCGCATCAAAGACACCAGGTGGCCCCGACCTTTACAGACTAATCTGGCCCAGAGAAATCCTAATCAAATGTGCAAATATCATGGCACCCATGGTCATAGAACAAAAGATTGCATACAACTGAGGGAGGAGGTAGCCCGTTTGTTCAACGAAGGGTATCTTCGAGAATTCTTAAGCGATCGGGCTAAAAACCACTTCAAGAACAGAGATTCAAACATACAAAATGAGCAAGAAGAGCCGCAACACATGATCCACATGATTGTTGGAGGGGTCGATATTCCTTAGGGGCCGGTATTCAAACGCACCAAGGTGTCGTTCATGAGGGAAAATCGGACTTGAGACTACGTACCAGAAGGGACATTATCTTTCAACGACGAGGATGCAGAGGGGATCTTACAACCCCACAACGACACACTGGTAATATCTGTCCTTATGAATAAAATTCAAGTTAAACATATTTTGATTGATCCACTCGACCAACATTATTCGATCGAGGGTCGTAGAATAGCTCGGCCTACAAGATCAAATTGTGCCCGCAGCCCAAGTACTTAACGACTTCAACATGGCAAGCAAAACCACCAAAGGTGAAATTACTTTGCCAGTAAACGTGGCCGGGACCATCCAAGAAACAAAGTTCCATGTGATCGAGGGTGACATGAGGTACAATGCCCTGCTTGGAAGGCTTTGGATCCATAACATGAGGGCAGTACCCTCGACCCTTCACCAAGTTCTGAAGTTCCCGACATCGTAGGGAGTCAAAACAGTGTACGGGGAGCAACCCGCCGCCAAGGAGATATTTGCAGTCGATGAAGTAATACTGGTATTGGCACTCTCATCAATGAAGGGATCGAATTTGAAGGGAAAGCAGGAAGCCAAATAGCAACCACAGACACCGGCCTCGACCCAATTGCAGGAGCAAGGGATCAACGAGGACGACCACTACTGGATCCCTCGATCTTTCATAATTCTCGATTACTCTGACGCCACCAAGTCAACAATTGAAGAGCTGGAACAAGTCACACTGGCCAAGCATCAGCCCGAACAAAAGGTATACCTGGGCACGGGGCTAAACCCCGAACTCAGAAAAAAACTTATTCATTTCCTTAAAGCTAACATGGATTGCTTTGCTTGGTCCCACCTCGATATGACAGGGATCCCACTAGAAATTACCACTCACAAACTAAGCATGGATCCTAAATTCCGACGGGTGAAGCAAAAAAGAAGGCCCCAGTCCGAGGTCAAACATGCCTTCATCAAGGACGAGGTAACCAAACTTCTCATCCCGAATGGTTAGCAAACATAATGGTAGTCCTTAAGAAGGGAAACAAACTTAGAATGTGCGTAGATTATAAATACCTGAATAAAGCATGCCTCAAGGATTCTTTTTCTTTGCCTAATATCGATCGTATGATCGATGCCACGGCCGGCCATGAGACTCTTAGTTTTCTCGATGCCTACTCCGGGTACAACCAGATACAGATGAACCTAGAGGATTAGGAAAAGACCTCGTTTATCACTAAGTACGGTACCTACTGTTATAATGTAATGCCATTCGGTCTAAAAAATGCTGGTGCAAGTTATCAACGCCTAGTAAACCGAATGTTCGAAGAACAAATAGGAAATCAATGGAAGTTTATATTGATGACATGTTAATTAAGTCCCTACGAGCAGAGGACCAGTTAAAGCATTTACAGGAGACTTTCGATACACTGAGGAAGTACAATATGAAGCTCAACCCCGAAAAGTGTGCATTTGGGGTTGGCTCGGGCAAGTTTCTTTGTTTCATGGAGTCCAATCGAGGAATCGAGATAACCTCGATAAAGATGATAGAGCACTTGAATAACGTATCCAGTCAAACAACTTTTCCTCTCTTGCTTTTATCAAACAAAAGTCATGCACAAGATCATGAATTTGGCAAGTCCAGTATTTACCTATCTCATTCAGTAGGAGGAAGTCCAGCTCCAATTTCAGCTTTTCAGTTAGATCCACGTCAACAACTTTTTGATTTTCTTCATTCTTTATGCTCTCTATGAAATCCAGAACATTGAAAGTGTCCTTGCGAAGAGTAAAAAATGATACTTGCCAAAAGAACAAACATTATATCAAATTCTCACAAAATAAGTGAGAATGTTCGAGCAACTGGTTATATATCCAAAATAAGCATGTCAAGAAAATGGTTTACTATGCATATGTTTAATTGCATTAAAAGAATATGTTCAGCTGGTGTTTTTCCCCCTCTTCTATTTACTAGATTATGCACTAAAAAGGGGGATGAACGATTTAGTGAAGATTTTTTCTGACCATTCCAAGGAAGACATGAATAGAGGTAACTGCCAAACATATAAACACAACCTCTTGAAAATCATAACTAACCAGGATCGATAAGATTTATAATGTTTAGTTGTTTTTTTCTTTGTTCTTACAGCAAGAAGTTTATAATTCTATCAATAAATTTCTATTCTTTGTTATAAAATAATAGCAAAAACTTGCTTGCACTCAGTATTTATACCAAAAAATACTAACTTATAATGGTTAAGTGATTTAATATTGTAAGAATTTATATTAAGTGAACAAAATTTATGTGCAGAAACATGGCATACATCTGTTCGTTTAGTATATAAAGTCACAATTAATCGGAAAGAAATAAAATAAAACAAATAAGAAACAAAATCTATCCAATTCATGATATTAAGAGAAAAAATAGTATAGACGTCATGGATTTCAATTTCTTCAACCATAGGTTCATTTGCCTCAATTGTTTTTAGCTTCAGTTTCATTCGCTTACGTATGAGGTGAAGAAACGAAAGTAGAGGTGCTTAAGCGAAGGAGGGAATAATCACATCATACTTCAACCATATATTCCTTTGCTGAAGTGGGAGGAGCAAGTTTCCCGCAATAGCTACACCTTCTTTCATCACAAGTAAAAATGGGGTTCCAACAGCCTCAGACCCAAATGGTCCATAATTCTTTGCATTAGTTATAAAACATAGAGATTTTATAACCGAATGGCCATAAAAACGTCCAAATGTCCTCTTGATGCCTATTAAATATTTCAATGGAGTTGCCTCAATAACAACCTGAGATTATTGTAAATCACATATCGGTTAAATAAGTAGCAGAGTCGGAAATTTCGTCAAGAATTCAGAAAAGAGCAAGAATGCAATATTAGGATTCGAGATTCGTGACCTAAAGCAAATTCAGACACTTAGTTGAATCCTCTCAATGCAAAGGAAGCGGCAAACTTAAATATGAAGCAACGGGTGCATTCATATCTTTGACTTGAAAGATGCTTATATAACTATAGATTACACGATGTGTACAATGAAAATGCAAAAAAAGTTGTTACACTATCATATTAAGTTGACCTATAACGTGATTTTTCATATCAAGAACCTGATAAGATAATTTGAAGGTTGTAAGACAAATGAACAACCTGCTATATCTGGTCTAGTTGTCTTAATAATTAATTCTTTTTACATAATTTAAGCTCATTGCTATGACATGACACAAATTTAACTTGAGAAGAATGTTGTCTCTTCTACCACAATTTGTTTGGACTTACCTTGTCTCTTCGACCTCCATCCCCACCAAACTTTGGTGAGTCGATGGTAGTACCTTGTTCAGTAATGGTTATGAACATGATGGAGTCTATAACATCTCCATGAGCAATCAATATTTCTTTAATAGGACTTTTCAGCATGTAATTCCATTCTGATCCACCAGTGCCTCCCCATGGCTCCAACAATATTGAGTCCGCTTCATTGTAACTCACTTGATTTCCCTTCACAAACATAACAAATCAATGGCTCCATTATTTGCAGTGAAAAAAAAATAGAATGAATATAGATACATACATGTAATAGAAGAGAAGGCAATGTACCACTGTTGGCAATTTGCTTTTATTTTTTTTTCAATCCCTTCTCTTAATATTTCTTATGATCATTTTATTTAAAGTTATTCAATCTATATAAGGTGTTAGAAGAGTAACACTAGTCATTAGTTTTAAGAAAGGGATCCGTGCTTGTGTGTAAGTATGAGGTGAAGTAAAGGAAGTAGAGGTTATTAAGCAAAGGAGGAAATAATCACTTAAATCTAGCATTTAATCACGTCGTGTCTCTCCGTTTTCATCTTTATATTTCTTTGTTGCCCACTGAATACTAATATTCAAAGGTTAGAGGATAAATTTAGGGAAAGGAAAAGAGGCATAACCTCAAAAATTAACATATTGGAACCAAAAAGAAAGTTCATAAAGGATCATTGACGCATGGGCATCTAATCATATGATAGGTTGTTTAAAATTATTACATAATGTGAGAAAAATATATAGCTTTCCTGTTGCTTCGCCTGATGGAAGTAATATTGTAGCCACCAACGAGGGTTCAACAAAACTTGTAGGAAATTTGGTTTTGAAAAATATTCTTTATATGTTCGGCTTAACGTGCAATTGATATCTCTGTCGCAATTGATGGATCACTCATATTGTTTTCCTATGCATTAAACTTTTATGTGTTATATAGGACATCACCTCAAGGATGTTGATTGGAGTGTGTGAACAAAGAGATGGACTCTATTGTTGTTAGAACAAGTCGAGGGTGTGTGAGCTGAAGATAGGTGGTGTTGACTTGTTGGATCTTTAGTACAAACATTTGGGACATCCTTCTCTACAAGTGACCAAATCAATTTTAGTTGTAGATTTAATTGACGTTTTGTATAAGAGCTGTGATGTGTGTCATCGGACAAAACAAAAGAAAGAAAAATTTTCTTTGAGTAATTTTAGAGTTTCTAGCATTTGTGAATCAATTCATTGTAATTTATGGAGGGTATTAGGCGTGTATATATTGTATACATTTTATGAAGGTGAAGCATCGATGGTCCACAATGTAACTAGAGGTCAAGCACCGGTGTCCATAATGTACCTAGCTAGTTGTTCTCCATATATGTTTTGGTTCTCCATATATGTTTGAGACTAAATATTTTCATATTTGTTAGGACTAGGATGTACTATTTATATATATATTCTTGTTACTCAATAGATGAAGGCAAGGCTTTTCTCTTCCTTTTTGACGGAAACTCGGTCCATATTTTGGCAACAGCCATTAAATAAATTGTATATATCTTGTATGTCGGTTGTATAAACGACATACAATATATACAACTAACATAATTTTATACAAGTTGTATATAAGTTGTTTGTATATATAGTTTTTTACAACAAAAGGTTATATTCAAATTGTATATAATTGTAGCTTTTGACTGAAATTACTGTTGAGAGTCCCATTATCATAAATTCGAAGGTTTCATCTTTCGAGAATTCGTAATATTACTTATATTAGGGAGAAAATTAAAAAATCGATTTATGAGCGAGTGAGAGAAAAAACACTTTGGTTTTCTTCTGGCAGAAACCTATTTGTAACTTTGAACAGATACTACTATTAAGGGTTGTGTCCCTTCCCTTTTATATATATTAAAATAATACATACATATATATTGTATGACATACCCATAATTTGTTGTGCAGTCTTTGGTGCTCCAATTTTTGGAATTTGAAAGGACTTTCCTAGTATTTCTGCTAAAATCTTCTTTTATCAAAGTTTCCGCTAAAGCTAACAAATAGAGTTTTTTTAAATATTTTGACAGTGACCAAACATGTTCAATTTTGCCAAACCTAAAGCAGCAAAACAATTCAGGAATATAAGCTTATAACTAGATTCACAACTCTTCACCTTATGAATTAGCTTTTCTGATCAAAGTCAGACAAGTTTGTGATCGAATGTATCAGAACTAATCTCACCTCACCTCAGTGCGACAACTGAGTTGAACGGTTGAGCAACATTAAGGGCGTTGCCGATTCAGGTGTAACGCTTAGCAAGAAATAGTCTTGGCCTCATATTAAAGAGGAAAAGAAATTGTAGGTGTGAGAATGCTGAAAATTATCAGTGTGAATACAAAGAAAACAATAGGAAAAAATAAAGAAAAAGAATCGCAAATTGATAACAACGTAACATTGACACCAACTGGCAAAAATATCTGACCCTATTTCAGAGAAAAACGTTGTAGAAAGTAACAAACTAAGAGAGAAAAAAGTCAAAGTAAAAATAGGATTAAGTCTTACAAAATTAAAATGCAAAAATTCCAAATGACATTTTCAACGGTTATGATACGATGGATAAAATAAAGGGCAGTCTGGTACACAAAGCATCCCGCATTCTGTGATTACTTGCTATAATCCTCCAATTTCTAAACAAAATGTTTATTCCTCGCTTTTGTTGTTATACTTTTCGTGGATGTGGTGGAACCATTTTAAAGGAAAAATGCATAAGTATCCCCCAACCTATTATCGAAGTTCCAACTACACATCTTTCCTTTTCGGGGGTCCTCTTACCCCCTTGAACTATTTTAAAATGAAATTATTACCTCCCTAAATGCTTATGTGGCAAAGTGAGTGTCTTTCACTCTCTTTAAGAGAGTGAGTGACAACAACAAATATTAAAATTTTATTTTTAATATGCCTTTTATTAAATATATACAGGTTTTTAGTTTCTCTTTTCCTTTTTGTTTCTATCTCTTTTTTAATTTCTTTTCTTCCTCCACCCGACTAGCAACATGGCCAATGTCACCACCATGTTGTAACCCCCAAATTTTTTCGCCACTACCACAAGGCGTATATAGCAACCACCCCCCTCCTTACTGCCATAATCCACCAAGAGGCCACCCTGCACCCAATTTCAAAATCAACAGTAAGCCATCAAAATACCATTGAAGCACCAAGTTGAAGATAGTGTAACTAGCTTTTTAAGAAGACAAAATTGTTTAAACAACTCAGTAATTGCAGATTCATTCTAATTGATTTGAAAAGTAAATAAATTTGTGAAATTCATTAGTTGTAGAAAAAATTTCTATTATCGGTCCATAAATTTGCAAGAAAAATAACCAGGTTGTACAGAAATTCCCTCGCTGGAAAGTTTTCCGACCATCGAAACCCATTTTTTCTGGCCAAATTTTCAGAACTTTCATCAGCGGGTCCACCATATTAAACAGCAGATCCCGCCATTTATGACTATATTCTTCTTTCATAACCACAAACTAAACAATAATTTCAGATTTGATAAATAAAAAAGAAAAATGATAGAAAAAAAATGTGGAATGAATTTTGCGGGAGGGGGGTGGTCACGTCTTGGAAGAAGGTAATTGGAGGAACAGAAAGTAAAGAAAAAGAAAGAAAAAAAAGAATAGAATAATCATATCATATCATATCATCATCATATTATACTGATCATATCATATCATATCATCATATCATATTATACTAAAAGTGGGAAGTTTCTGTAGTTAAAGTTGAATTACCAAAATATCCATCAAAAACTAAATGGCTATTCTACCCTAAATGGCTATCCAACAAATTATTAATAAGGTTGTTATCAGCCGAATAGTCTGAATGGGGTACTGAAGAGTTGTAACAGATAAGGGTAATGAAGAGTTGCATCACAACTTAAGAATCCAAAAATTGTCCCTTGTCCACTTCTATACCGTTCTTAATTGTCTCATCTTCATTGCATATTTTTTCTTATCCAGTGAAGAATTGATAAAATCATAATTACTGAATAGCTTGCATGACTGCATAACCAACAACAGAAGAAGCATGGAAAGCATATATAAGTTTTCATGGTCCCTTGATAACATTGCCTCTAAGGAATTAGAAACAGGAATTCACGTCTTACTGCAAACAATAACGTGAACATTGTTGTCTTTGGAAATACTCCAGTAAGTTTATCATTCTTCGAGTCTTTGGTTTTTTCTTTGTGATACGGAAATTAATTTTATGGGGGCAGATATAAATAAATACCAAGGATAACTTCCGCAATTCTATGGTTCAAGATTCTCATGATTCCCTTTACATTCTCTGCAGGTTTAATTAATTTAAATTGTTACTGTAATGGGGCCTGATCTTATAATTGTTTGTCTTAAGGTCTGTATCATTTGATTCTTTAATTTTTGTTCAAGAATTTTATGATTTCCTTTAAATTCTCTAGCAGTTTTAGGGGAATAATTACTTAAAGGGCAAATTATTGTGTGATTTGCACTGGTTGACTGGTTTCAGTTATGCTATTATGACAAAAGTAATTTTCTATAATTTCATCCTTAAATTATAGTATGTCGTTGTTTGAGGACCTTTCCCACTTCCCAGCTTTCTAAAAGGTTATAAGTTACTTGCATTTTCATTTAAGGTTATGCATAACTTCTTCTTCTTACCTACTGGCTGAAACATTTCAAATTGAATTACTGGATGCACTTCTCCATGTCTTTGATTTCATCCTGGACTTTCTTCTTTTGAAAGGATGGTAATTAACTTGACACTTATTGAAGTTATTGTCTGTAAAGTTAACGGCGTTAAAATGAATTTGATCTACTGTGACCGATACTAGCTACCCATCTACAAAAAAATTATAGGATGAAAAAGCTTTTTGCGCTGAATACATACTTAAGTATTTATAAATTGCTGCCTCTTGGTGTAGATTTCACAATTTGCACCCCCAATATTTATATACAACAATGCTCCCTATTGAGAAGAGAATTAGTAGCTGTCGGGGAACCTTAGGAGTTAGGAGCACTTCACATTTACTCCCCTCGTGTTCATTTCTCTCTATTTCTCCTCTCTTTTTTTCTCATTGTTTTGTTATTGTCAAAACTCATATATATATATATTGCTTTTGTATCTGTTGAATTTTTACATCAACATTGTATTTTTATGTGGGTGTGTGTATTTGTTTCCTTTATATATATGTTGTCGAATAT